AAAAAAAAATCATAATTGTTTTAAAGCTACTGGGAAGTCAGAATTAGGCCATGCTGCTGGTCTTGTTTTAACTACAGTACTATTTGGCACTAGTGTAAACTTAGTATAATTCACTCTTTTGAAACAGCAAAGGGGTGGGAGAAAATAAATGGCTTGTTAGATGAGTACCAAAGTTACTGAATAGTAATGGAATGTTCTCATTCTTAACTCTCCCAGCCTCAAAACAACATAGGCTACTTTTTCTTTGCCTTCCTCAAGAAACCACCTGTAATGTAATTAGCAAACAAACTGGCTGTAGGTATAGTGCAATTACAAATGCTCTAATCATTGTACATACGTCTCTCTCTCTGGATATTGCAGCATCCATACTGGCTTTGTAATCATTAATTTTTTTGGCAGATTGAATGTGCTGTATTGATATGTATCTATGTAATTGTATTGTATGTCTTATAGCTAATTCACATTTTGAATAATGTTATTTTATTTACTTTTTTAAGAGAGGAGAATGTAAATTTGTCAGTTTATTTCTGACTAGGGATATTTTTTTCCATTTAGAAAAGAAGAAAAAAAAAAAACCTTATTATCGTACAGAGCGGTACTAGCATCGTGCTGTATAAAATCATTTGCACATTCCTGAGTAGAGGTATACTGATTATAAGACCCAAAGGTAATTTCATAGCAAAATACATAAAATCAGTCAGAGCTTTTATACAAACATGGAAACCAACTTTGTAGAACTTTTGCCATTTGACCTAGGATTGGAATATGAGCTTTTATACAATTCATATTCTTATTTGGCAAATGCACAGTTTAGTATTACCTCTCTGATGGCCTTCATTAGAAAGGCAGTTTTAGAAGCTATTGTGATCCACTAAGGAAATGTTTTAACAGCTAGAGACCACTGCTTTGCCTGAAAGGGCGATCTTAAATTTGGTGCAGCAAAAAAAAAAAAAAAAAAAAAAAAAAAAGTAAACAACATTTGAAGGCTACAGTGTGTATAGAGAAAAGCTCATCACAAGATCATAAGTGTTACAGTTTTAGGGAATCAAGATATTCTATTTAATAGAGCTATAGTAGATGTAGTTGATTAAACCTGATCTCAAAGCTCAGAGAAGCTGAGCAAAACAGGGAAAGATTGTTACATTTGTCTTTAAGAAATTGGGATGGAATTTGCTATGCAGAATCGAGGTTTGTGGCTTCACTGCTCACCTTAGGGTGCATGACAAGATCCCTTCTCTTGAGAAAGGAAAAAATTGATCACCCTAGCCACAGTGATGCATGGAAACCTAATTGTATCCACACTAGTCAGTCGAAGCTAAAGGGTTTTCTTTTTTTGTTCCTTTGTTTGGGGTTTTATTGAAGGGGCTAGGGGTGGGAAGGGATTATTTTCAGTTTTGTATAAAAACAAAGTTTACTCATGCTTTATATTATATTGTGATTGCAAGCGTTATAAGCGTGTGCCACTGGACTCCTCTTGTCGATGCTCTAAGTAACAGAGGCCTGTGGCAAGTTTTAGGGTGACTTGGCATGTCTTATTCAGAAACAAAAACAAGAAAAACACATAAAACCTTTCTTCAGCATACCACGGCAAGCAGCCACTTCATGACTCACTTAACTCATTGCAGTGTACGAGTTTACAAATGATTTTTCTCTTTTTGCGTGGTAACAGCAGTTCCGACCCTCAAAGAAGTCCTTATTTGTAAACTGGAGGTTCCTGCTATGCCTTACAGAGCTTAAATTCAGAAGTTTGTGCCTGGATCTGAAACAAAGGGAAAGAATACACCCACTCAAAAGCAAACAAATACCCTGAAAAAGTCTTTTCTTTCACATTTCCATTTAAAGAGCTCTGTTGAATGTCACGAATAGACTGTGGGGGGAAAAAAATCTTAGGGACCTGCATATGTTGTTTACTAGCATGATGTCTACAAAAGATATTTGAAGAACACCTTAAACTTGTATTTTTTTTTTAATTTTTTTTTTTTTTTAGATTAACTAGCAGGTCTAATATTTTTTAAAATGGTAATTCAGCTAAAGGGCAATTTACTTTTTGTACTTCAGACTATCTTGATTGTCAAAGTGTATGAACTGTAATTTTAAAATTTATACTGCCACATGATTTTCAATTTTAGTTGTCCTAAGTTAGGAATTGATGAAAAGCTATTTATGCTGGACTTTGGTCAAACTGATTTTGTTATTTGCAAAAAATAAAAAATAACAGGGAAGAAAGGGCTGCATAATGAAATATACTGCAAGACTTAGATATTGGTTGGACATAACCTTCAAATTACCTTTGATTTCCCTTTGTTTTCAATTTCTCAAAAAGAACGAATGAAATGAAATATAGCAGAATGTTAACCCATATAAAAATAAAGTATTCCCGAATATTGTAATGTATATTGCTGCTCTTCTTAAAATTAAATAAGGGTTTAAAACCACTAAATTGGTCATCAACAACATCTCAATTGATACAATAAGGTGTGCTTGGTGTACATTAAACATTTTCTTCCAAAGATGTATCTTTGGTTAGAAACACACAAAAAATTGAAGCTAGTGATACTGTATGTTTATCTATCTCTACATATTTCCAGCATTTGTAGCGTTAACAGATCTGTCCTGGTAACTGTGTCTTTGGGGTTTCATTTTGATTACATTCAGTTAGGAAAAGAAATGGTTTAATTGTGTATGATTAGAGATTTTTGGAGCCAGACATTTGCTGTTTAGTAGATACTTTGTGCAGAGTCTAAACTTCTCATTTTTCTCACAGAATAACAAACCATTTCCTGCTGCCTTCCCAACTACCAACGCCCTTTCAATAACATTCTCGCCTCTAGAATCATACTTTCAAAGGAGGCATACACACTTAGCACATAGTAGGTGCTCAAATATTAATTTCTTTCTTACCTTCCTTACCTACCATATACCATCCGTTTTCCCATATGATTCAAACCCAATAGTAAACATCATTTACATATGAAAACGTCTACTCGATAAAATTGGGTCTTACTTGAATCAAAGGAATTCTCACTTTCATATAAACATTTGATGGAAGATAAAAATAACAGGGAGGCAGTTATTCTTCAGTAGGTTTTTAAGTTTAGGAAAGAAAGATGGAAAATCACCATGTAAATTTGTCCAGGTTACTTTACTGAAACACATGTTTTTGGTGGATTTCCTTTCCTCGAGAACTCTCTTAAGTACAACTTCTTGCTGGATTCGTCACCCATCATTATGTTGGAAACCCTTACTATACCTACGTATTTAGGGAATTTTGTCAGAAAACATTTTTAACTTGCAGTATTTAAAAGAATCATATTTACTGTTCTTAAAATGTCATTCAAAATGCATGTATTGTCTATTGTTCGGGGATGGGAACTAGTTTTGCAAAAAAACACCTAATGTTGTATAATAATGCCCCAATGATCTTGCTGGTTAAAAATACAGTATTTTTGGCCATAATTTTGTATGACATTATTCTTCATTCTTGAGTTTTTCTTCTCTTAAAGTTCCCTAACCCTCTCTTAGAATGCTTTTTATTATAAGGAG